TCATCAGCTTGAGCCACAGAGCCTGCTTGGGATCCTCTCTCTCTCTCCCTCTCTCTGCCCCTCCCCCACTCATGCCATCTTTGTCTCTCTCAAAATAAATAAATTTAAAAAATAAAATAAGAAATAAAATAATGATTTCTCTGGCTCCAAGCCCTCCATGATTAACCACCATGTAAATATAGGGGCATGCTGGGGTAGGGACAGGAAGAACTAAAATAAACAAATCAATCTTCCTCATTTTCCACTTTAAAAAATCCTATTTATGGTGAACTGAATTCATCTTTGGCCAATCATAACCCATTAGACTTAGAGAATTAACTCCTTTTCATGACACAATTCACAAATGAATAACAATTATATTGCCTATAAAATATTTTTCTAAGATTATAGTACAAGTAAAATTGTCTCTAATGATATACTGAACCATAAGTTAGATTAATGTGTTCTACCCTGAGCTTTAGCAAGAACCACAACGCTTTGACCAATAGCCTTAATACAAAATTATACAAGGACACAGTCACAGTAAATAGATCATCCTATACTCTGCTATATACAAAAACCTGTACATGAATCTCCATAGCAGCTCTACTGGTTATAGCAAAATACTTCAGAGAACCCAGAGGTCCTACAATGGGTGGAAGGCTCAACAAACTGGTATAACCATGTAAGGGACCACTACTCCGAAATAAAAAGGAGTGAACTACTGACACATGCAACAATCTGAATGGACCTCAAGGGCTTTATATTTAGTGAAAACCATCAATCTCAAAAGGTTACATGCTGTATGATTCCATTGATATTATATTCTTAAAATGACAAAAGTAAAGGAATGAATAATGAGAGTGGAGAGTGGGAAGGGGAGGGCAAAGAGGTGGATACTATGAAATAGGAAGTTCTTTCAAGATAATCAAACAGTTCTGTATCTTGATTATAGTAATGGTTACATGAATCTATAAATGGGGTAAGACTGCAGGGAACTATACACACACACATGAATGCAGGTAAAAAAAAAAATAGGTGAAAACTGAATAAGGTCTACAGTCTAGTTATAATATACCAATGTCAATTTCCTGGTTTTGATATTGTACTACAGCTATATCATGTCACCATCGGGGGAGGCTTACACAGGTGAAGGTGAAGGGTGCACAGGTCTCTATGTACTTTTTTTTTAAAGTTTATTTATTTTTTTTCCAAGTGAGAGACAGAAGGAGAGAGAAAGAGAGAGAGAGAGAGGGAGAAAGCGAGCAGAGAAGGGGCAGAAAGAGGAAGACAAAGAGAATCCCAAGCAGGCTCTGCACCACCATTGAGAACCCAATGCAGGGCTCAACCTCATCGTGAACAGCGAGATCATGACCTGCACCAATGTCAGATGCTTAACCGACTGAGCCACCCAGGTGTTCCCACTCTTTGTACTCTCTTTGCAATTTCCTATAATTATCTCAACATAAAAAGTTTAAACAAAAAATGACCCTGGGTATAAGAACTTGAATTTGAACCTGGGTCTGCCTCACTCTAAAACTTGTGCTACTGCCCTGTATACCTTACTGCCTACAAAATTTGTTCTGTTACAATATACCAAACATGCATTAATTCCTACAGAGAAGAATAAAATACATAGGAGGCATAGGAGGCTCATCCTGGGTCACATTTAAAGAAATCTAAGGAAGTTCAAGGAGTACTTTATTAGGAAAAAGTTTAAATATCAAATCATTTCATTCATGGCAAATAATCCCTGGTGTTCCAACGAACTAATATAACATGAACGTGGGAAGAGAACCTTTAGAAGTTTGATAGGAAGTGATGTCTGGGCTGCTTTGGCACCCTGACTGGGGGGGTTGGGGGAAGGGGGCACTGCCTCTCATTCCCCTCTCACTAGAGGCAGCTCTGAAGTCTCCTGCCATGTTGCCTTGTTCACTTGAAAGAATAAAATGCTGTTCCTCTCTTTACACACCAGGCAAACAAACTGCACAGCAGAAAGCTGTAAATAGAGTCATTACACTGTACATTTGGCATCTCTTTTCCATATACCCAGGAACTTCCTAATGAGTTTGTCCTTGTGAGATGCAGAACATGGCCAAATTATAATATAATCTCAGCCAGAGAGGTGAGCTAAAGGTGCCAAATGGTTTTTGGGAGTGAGTGAAAGTTACTGCCTCCCTTCATATTAATTCATCAAACCCTTGTACACAGCTATGTAGCAGCTATGAAAAAATTATGCATACAGGGAAGGACAAGAATCAAAATAGTGATAGGATGTTCTTTTTCTATTAGTGATGTTTTCCTGTTTAGCACCATTTTATTCTATTTCAGTAAAAATTATCCCATAATTATTTTTGAGTGTCTATTTATTTTTTAGAGAGAACATGTGCTAGAGTGGGGGAGGGGCAGAGCCAGAGGGGGACAGAGGATCTGAAGTGAGCTCTGCACTGACAACAGAGAGCCCGATGAGGGGCTCAATCCCATGAGCCATGAAATCATGACCTGAGCCAAAGTTGGACACTTAACTGACTGAGCCACCCAGGAGCCCCACCCCATAATTATTTTTATTAATTGATCAAATAATTCATTTTTAAAATCAGAGCCAAATTGTTTCACTATATCAAGTCCTCAATGCTGAATGTGCAATTGCTCAGAGGTGCTTTGTAGCATATGGTTCAATTGCACGTAGTTCAACTTAACACATATACAGTATCAAGTGTTTATTAAGAACATAATGGCATTACATCGCTTTGGAGGGTGACACAAAAAAATGAAAAGACACCATTCTATAGTCTCAAGGGGGAGCTACACATGTACACAATTAATAAAACCCAAGAAAAACCATAATTGCTGCTATTATTAAGTGTGCCAACATGGCAAATCCAATGTAATGTTAATAACAAGAAAGAAACTCAAGAGTTATCTTCAGGTATTTAAGAAGAAACTACACGTCACTAGTTGTACTCCACAGAACAGAACTAGGATTAACAGCTAGAAATTACAAGAATATACAGGAAGGTTGGTGTTATATATACATAAAAGCTTTTAATTTTTTTTAAATTAAAGCTTACATATTTATAGGATTTAGAGCATAATAAATCATTAATGACTTAATAGCTACAATAATATCTGATTAAACCTCTGTACTGGAAAGGAGTTCATGGGATTCTTTCTAAGGGCATGTCGTCCCCAGACGCCCCATAGATCAGAGAAAAGCATCTTGATACCCAGGGCTACAAATGAACAGTCCACAGAGACTAGATATAAGGGAGACTTGTAGCCTATAAGGTGGCATGAAGATGTAATTCTATCCAAAATAAGTGATTCATATTGAGTGGTGATTAAATGACCAAGGCTGATCCCCTCTCATGAAGGTTTTGCATTTGAGAGATGCAGCAGAGGAGAAAGGAATCACAGAGGAATCAGAAGAAGAGAAAAAGAAAAAACAGCTCTGACTATGGCAAAGCAAATTACAGTACAAAGCAACTGACAGCCAATTCTGAGGGAATAACAAGCTGACTAGACTTCCAGACTTCCTGCTAGAAGTCTATCTATCTCCTAAACAACACTCCAGATCTCTTGTGAGATCCTTCTGTTCACCCACCAAAGCATGTTCCTACTATCCTGTGTGAATTTATTCATCACCAGAGGAAACTTCAAGACAATGTTGAATTTCACATGAACCCTGTACTCCTGGAAAACAGAGACTGCCAAAAAATTACCCCTCACCCTTTTGTGTTCGAGGAAACAGTTTACCAGCACAGAAATATGCTCCCGTGTGACTGAGATAAAACTCATGGATGATCCCTTGTAACCTATGACAAGACAAAGACACATCTTCCAAATTCCCATTCTTTCACTCATAAATGATTAGCTGAACTGTTTGTCCATATTGACCATTCTGATTGGTCAACAGCTCTTAACTGGAGTTGACCAAACTTTAGTAAGGCTTTTCTCCTTCTTTCAAGTCCCTGGACTTTGACCCATCCTTGAGCAATGGAAGGTGAACAATCCTTCCTGAATGACTCCTCCCAAGAATCAGCGGACCTCAGGGGAAGAATATTCCCTGATCAACTGTCCAATCATGCCATCCATTCATCCCAGTCCCCCACACCCAATTCTTTTTAGCCTGTTTACTCCTCCTTATAAAAGAAAAGCTCCTTTCTGATTGATCTTTGAGATACTTATAGATCTTGTGGTCAAAGTGGTTCTTCCTACTGCAATATTCTTTCTTCTCCCATTACAATAGTACTCTTCCCCTTACTGTAATAATCTTTCTGAACAAAGTCTCTCCTTACCTAAGTCCAAATTTATTTTTATTTGGCATTTTCAAGCCAAAGATAGGCTGAAAAAAGTCTACCTTTACAAAACACAAATTAAAATCATTAAATATCCTTTTATTATTGACATTTATTTTTATAGAATCACAACTACTATGTATTTGACATATAGTCACATAATAAAATATATAGGAGATACCATCATAAATAAGTTAATTTCCCCTATTTTCAAACATAAAAATTACTTGATTACTGAAATAATTAGAATAAAGCATTTCATAGCAAACATGAGCAACCAAACAACTGTGATTTGGAAACCGCAGAAATCATTACTTTCTAGATTACTTGTTTTGGTGTAGTTCAATCATCTCTTTACAACCTATTCAAAAGAAGGAAAAAGCTTGATGAATTTGTTTTTATGTTGGCAAATTATTAACCCAAGTGTGAAACCAGCAACAATAGAGCTGCAAAGTTCTTTCTGAGGAACTTTCTGCAATAATCTTTCACTTTTCCAATGATCTAGTACCCTAGTCTCAACTTAGCATGGATACCATGAGTTAGCAAATTAACTGCAGCACATATGTAAAATAAATCAGCAGTGTTTTTAATCCAGAAGGGAAGTACATAAGATATTTCTATACCAGGAAGGACATCTTTTCCTAAAATACCTACATTCCTGTTTATGAAAAATAATTTAAAATAATACTCATATAATACATCACAACAAAATCAAGTACTCACCCGCATTGACTATAGCATCTACCTCTAGCAATGTGATGTCACCTCTATAGAGGGAAACTTTTTCACTCAAACTTTTCTTCACCTGTGATGTTTCCTGAGTATTTTCTTCTGTAATAAAAAAAAGAATATATATATATACATATATATATCAATAGTATAGTCTTAATTTATTTAAGGACAATTTTGATAAAATAGCCAATATGGGTCACAATCTGATATACAAGACAAGTGGAAATAAATGTGTAAGTACCAGGGGTGTGGCTTATTCTCTATTTATTATGTATTCCTCAATACAAATGTAGTACATCATGTATATAATAGGCAGTCAATAAATTTAGACATGTTATATTGGTCAAAAAAACTCAATGTTTCTTATTATTATGAAAATATCAATTTTAAAATAACATTATGAACGATCAAGTTTCATAAGAAGATAAGAAAAAGATGTACAACTATGGCTATGGGGGCCCAAAGACAATTTAAGTGACTTGTAACCTATCATCTCTAATCTCCTAAATACTTCAAAATTGCATGCTCATTTAAGAGTATCATAGTGAACTGATAGCATTATCTTCTCCCTTGAAAGATTTGACAAAAATAAATTTTCACAATGAATGAGCTTCTTTCTATTTCGTTGTAGTTACCAAGTCATCCTTGAAAAAAATATTCACCCAGAACAAAAACATGTTGGTTCCACTCTTTGCTACTTGTAAGTAACAAATGCCCCTCACAATGGGAAGGATCAAAAATACTTGAGTGGGTCAAACTGCTTTTCTTATCAAATTGTATTAACCTTTCACTCTAGAGGGCGCTGCTAGATTTAAAAGAGAAAAGCTCTGTCCTGCACACAACAGCCAGCAAACTAGTAAGTTGAAAACAAGCCAAAACATTACATTCTACAACTTGACCTACTTTTAAATCTTTTATGATAATACTATAATTTGAGATTCATTCATTCTTAACAAGTGATGTTAATACAGTACACAGAGGTTTACAAAATCAATGATTTAAAAAACATCATATTACTATACATAGAAAGCTTTTTTTTTTTTTTTTTAATTTTTTTTTCCAACGTTTATTTATTTTTGGGACAGAGAGACAGAGCATGAACGGGGGAGGGGCAGAGAGAGAGGGAGACACAGAATCGGAAACAGGCTCCAGGCTCCGAGCCATCAGCCCAGAGCCTGACGCGGGGCTCGAACTCACGGACCGCGAGATCGTGACCTGGCTGAAGTCGGACGCTTAACCGACTGCGCCACCCAGGCGCCCCATAGAAAGCTTTTTAATATACCTCTACGAAAGGTGATTTATAAACTCAAACTTTTTGAAGTGTTTATGATCTGTGCAAATCTTTCAAGGGAGAAGATAATGCTATCAGTTCACTATGATACTCTTAAATGAGCATGCAATTTTGAAGTATTTAGGAGATTAGAGATGATAGGTTACAAGTCACTTAAATTGTCTTTGGGCCCCCATAGCCATAGAAAAAAAATGGCCAAGAGTAAGGATATGATCCTGGGTCACAAAAGTTATCTTTTCTCTCTTTCTGTCTCCGAGGCATCCCCTTCTTTGTAATCACTGCTCTCCTTAAAGGATTCTAATCAAAATATTCATTAGTGTTGACAATAGTAGTAATAATAATAAGGAGGAGGAGGAGAAAATGGGAAAATTGTATGTGAAAAGAGCAGAGAAAGACATTAGAGGACCTCAAAATAAAACAATAATAAAAAAATAAAACCACCTCAAGGGCTTCTCCAGTACCGTCTGTCCTTGTCAGGTAATGGCTAAAAGCACACACTTTACTACCAGACTATCTCTGTTCAAATTTTGATCTACCAGTTAGCAACTAGGTGATATTGGAAAGGTTATTTATTTTCTCTATGCTTCAGTCTGTAAATTACTGGCTCCTTCACAATTATGAGTTCATAATACTTAGAATAATACTTGCTCCACAGTAAGCTCTCAACAAACACTACTTTTTTTTTAAACAAAGGATTTACAAAGATGACAAGTTATGTCAACATCTAGATTCAGAAAAACACAGTAGTTAAGAAATATTTTCAAACAATATTATTTTGAAAAATGTATCATTACATTTATTATTGTTGTTGTTGTTGTTGTTATTCCCATCAGTGAAAGAATTTTGTTTGTGCTCTTGCCAGGCCAATGCCTGGCCCATTGACAAAGACTTTGAGCCAGAACACCTTGAGTTCCACACCCAATCAGTTTCTAGTCTTACTACTTTTACCAAATTAGAAAGTCCTAATTCCCAGTTAAAGATTATTGAATGACAATAAATATTTGGTGATTTGTCAAAAAAAAAAAAAA